ATCGAAATTGCATCTCCTGTATCTCCTGTTCACAGGCAGGTTCTTTACCACTGGCCTCATTAGAGATTCAGGGGTGTTCTAATGTGTAGGGAGATCGGCCTCATCCCTAGAACATGGGATGAGCCCTGTTATGGAATGCATTTAACAATCCAGAGTAAGATACCCAAAGCTTTGGGGATTTTGCCTGGGAGATTCATGGGTCCTGAGAGATACAACTTGGAGGATAAAATGAACGGCATGTATTTGAAGGTGGGGCTGTCCTGGCAGAGCAGCTCTTTAAGGGGCATAGTGAGGTGTGCTCATTTAGAGGAAGTAACGGGAGGACGTTTGAGACACACATATTCACAGGACCAAAGGCAAGCATGAAGGAGATTGATGAGAGGCAGTTATGGGAGGCAGGGAAGGTGAAAGCTCTCTTGGGTCCCAGGTATGATGGCTCAGATGTGCTAAGTAAGGCATGAAAGGGGAGATGTTGGATTTTTAAGGATGGAGGACCGGAAGGGCTAATCTGACAAGGAAACAAAGGAGCCTGACACTGGCAGACTCTCCACTGGGGAGACGAGGGAGATGAGTGGAATGGAGAGCAGTGAGGAGACAAAGCAGCAACTAAAACCAAGGTTATGATGATCTCTGAAAAGGCAGCCGGTGCCTTCAAGCCTTTGAGCTGCAGTTTACCTAAAGCACACAGAGAAACGAGCATCCCTTTCCTCTCTCTGGACACTGGTGCAGAAAATGGGCTGTGATGCAGCAGAGGGTTTAGCTAAAGATTCTTTAAGTTTGGAGCAGGTATGAGGGCAGTGGGGAAATTTCCTGGTCTAGTAACTTTTAGGTTTGATAGGTTCTTGGAGATTAGGGTAAGCAGGCTGGTCTGAACCTTGAAGTTGGTGACTGGGATTCAACACTCCCAGCCTGGGACTGAGTCTCCCAGTCTTGTTACGCCTGTGAGGACATATCCTGTGTACTTGACTGAAGGTTCTTCCACTAGCTCCCAAGTTCAAGCTCTCTAACCTCCTCAAGATCACACCAAGGTCATTCCCTGCTGACCTGGTAAGTGGTCTCTTATCATTCATGGTGATCAGGACATTCCAAGTCATGTTCAGGTAACATAGGAATTTAAAATAGTCAAATGGCAGAAAGTTTCATGCAAAAGGGGCTCTAAATTATTTTTTAGTACAAAAAGAAAAAAGTTATTTATTTTGCCTAAAATCTCTTCATCTATAACTTAATCTTGTTTCCTCCTGTAACCAGTGTCAGCCAACCTGTCAAAATCATACTCAGGTGTCTGGACGTGGTTAACATATTATTAACCGGGGGATTTTTGCAAAAAACGAATGCCTGTGGTCGGTGATTTGTTATGTAAGTGAATATTGAAATGTCTCCAGTCAATAACATTTGGGTAACAAAAGACATATTAATACATCTCTGGTTAGTAATGAGTTAAGAGCCTTGTGCTATAGCATCTGTTTTCAATTACTAATAGGCGTGAATATCCTCTTGTTAATACTATTCCTCAAAATCCCTGCTTCTAAATCATCACTTGGAAGTTGCAAAAAGTATAAAGTTCTCACTCCAGACCTGCTCAATCACAGATCCTGGGCATGCAACCTTGTGACCCATGTTTTACACAACCCTCCGGATGATGGTGATGCAAGCTCAAGTTTGAGAGTCACTGTTCTAAAATGCACAGCAAAGGGTTAAGAGCACCTGACCAATATTAAGCAGAGTGGACGAGCTCATTCTGGCTCTTCCATCCTCTAATTAACATGTCAGGACTCTCTCCTAGAAAAACAACATAAAGGCCTTAACATTTTGGAGATGGAGGACAGTGAAAGACATGTTTATTGAGTGCCTTGAAATTTGCCAGCCACTGGCTTTACACACATGATCCTACTTAATCCTTAAAACAATACGAGGTAAAATAGTAATTTTACCAGATAGGAAACCGAACTCAAAGCTATTAGGTAATTTACCTAAAGACACAGCTGCTACATAATGGATGGGGTCTGCGCGCATCTTCAGTTGTGTCTGACTCTACGACCCTTTCTTTTGGACGGTAGCATGCCAGGCTCCTCTCCATTTGATTTTCCAGGCAAGAATACTGGAGTTGGTTGCCATTTCTTCCTCTAGGGGATCTCCCTGACCTAGGGATTGAACCCATGTCTCCTGCATCTCCTGTATTGCAGGTGGATTCTTTAATGCTGAGCCATCAGAGAAACCCAGATGGGATTTGAGTCCAAGTCAAAAGTCTTTATCAGAGTATGCTGATTCCTTATAGACAGCTCAGTAGTGGCATAATTCACACAGGGAAAAGGTAACCAATAATACTGTGCTATTATTCTTTTAAAATAACACAGCTCATCTTTACCAATGCCCAAGTCTTTACTGTTTAAGCACATTTCTGACCAAAGTGGGCCACTTTAATCTCAGTTTTGCTCATTCTGGGGAGACAGCACCAGGTAGCTACCTGTATCTACTGTGTGACCATAATCTGTTCAGGTCACTGTTCACTGTTAACTGGAGGCAAATGGCTTAAGCTCGCTGGGCCCATTTCTTTTGCTCTTGTGTTACCATTTATATCTCCATCTACAGAGTTAGTAATCCAACCCAACCCAATCTGTTTACCACCTGCAGCAGATTCAAGAGCACAACCAACAGGCTCCTCCAGTCAGCTCACGGATGAGGATCCTCCATCAATGTAGGCCAATGGCGCTTTCTCCCAGAAACCGGCAAGCCACACCCAAGTCCTTCAGAAACAACGGGTAAACCCTCTAAACCAGGTAAAACAAAACAAACAACCCCCCCCCCCGCNCCCAAGTCCTTCAGAAACAACGGGTAAACCCTCTAAACCAGGTAAAACAAAACAAACACCCCCCCCCCCCACCAGTTTTCACTTGCTAATTAGGGTATCCTGTGGCATCCAGTCTTAGCCTGTCTTGTAATTCTAGAGTTTGTAGAACTGTCGAACCAAAAAAAGGAAGAAGCTCTGTCTGCTGTCAATTAGCTGCACCACTGGAGAGGAACAGTGGCGTGGCAGATTTTAAAAATTTGGTTCCATTTGGCTTTGGAATGCATTATGATTTTTTCAGTAGATTAACTTTCCTAATTATATTTTGCACAGTCTAATATTAACAGGCATTCATATTCCCTGAGCATATAACATCTAACATTGAGAGCTGGGAGACGCAGTAGACGAGTCCAAAAATGTGTTGGTCTCAGGGAATGACAATGTTGGTATGGAAAAATCCACATATGGATAATGAAGAGGGAACTAATTATAAAGTGCTCTGCAAATATTAAATCATAAGCAGAAGAGGCAAATCAGAATTCTCTATGGATATGTGAATAGAGAGTCAAGAAAACTTCTTAAAATTCTAAAAGGGACAAACTTTCAAGAATCATCTTGAGTGATATGGAGTGTGATGGAAAAATAAGGATACAAGGAGGGTCAGTGAGATATACTGGGTGGTCTTTCAAATAAGAATACCTCAAGCAATAATAATACCAAAGCATTTTAAAAGAGCATTTAAAATGAATTTTATTATTTGAATTTTACAAGTAGTCTTTAAAGGCTTCAAACAAGAACTCTGTTGCAAAACTCTAATAAATAGCTTGCCCCAAGTCCCCAAACAAAATGTGAGACAAAATAGAAACTAAACTCAGAAGGATAAGCAAGACTTCAGAATGCTTGGATGTTAGTGCTATTTCTCATTTACAAAGAGATATCAGGCAATGTACAATCTCCTTCATACAAGTCAAAGAGAGAAAGAGACAGACAATTGAGATCTTTACAAAGCACTCCGAAATCTTCCTATTTCCATGAGAGAAATGTCACCAGAAAGAAAAAAACCCCATGAAGAAGTCACAATTATGAATGAAATTGTAGCATAAGTCTGGTGATGTGGGTTGGGGGAGAAGAGGGGAACTCCACCCCATTTTTTTTCAGGGATGGAGAGAGGAATGGGTGGAGATTATTTGGGGCAGGGAACTTCCAAGCAGATACCGCTGGATTGCTGAACATTCCCTTAGACCAGAGGCACCACTGAAGGGCGCAGGTGACAATTTGGTGACAACTGTGAAGGCAAGAAACAAGGCCACCAAGGGTTCCCCTGGGGCCTCTCAACACTAGTGACCCAGTGTCTCTGTTGTGTGCAGGACCAAGAGCCTTGGAACAATGGCCAGGGGCCCAAAGCAGCTGCACCACTAGACAAGAAAAGTAGCACATTAATCATTTCTGCAGCAGAATCCTGTAGCTGGCCACACAAAGATGCAGGAAATGTTGGGCAGAAATTGTACACTGGGACATGCAGGTCTCAAAAGGCCATTCCATCACCACAGTCATTGCTCCTAACAAGTATTAAAGTTCACAATTCAACATTCATTTTTTTCCTAGTTACAAATAGTGGTAAAGTCTTGCTTTGGAGAGAAGGATTTACTAATTCATCGTAAGATCATTTTGAATGAGCTAAAAATACAATTTTGCCACATTGGTAACTTTAAAAATCTCAAACAAAAACTAACCTTTTGACCAAAATGCATACAAATCTTAAGATGTTTTTTAGTTTGGAGGAATTCTAAAACCAGTTACTGTTTGGACCCAGGAAGCGACAGAAAGGCTGATTTCAATACAGAGGGACTCACTTAAGCCAAACGAAGGGCTCCGGCTCAGAGGAGCACACAGCACCCGGGACCATTTTCCCAGGGAAAGGTAGGAGGAAGTAGTGACGTCATAATGCAAGATGGAAAAGGGGTGTGGCCTGCAGGCTCCGTCTCTGCCTGTCTCTGGTTCACTGATTTGTTAAGTAACCCCAATCCTGCTGATCTCTGTAAGACAGGGACAGACATCACTAGCTCATGCACAAGGCATTTGAGGGAGGCAGGCATTTTCTGAAAGCACGTCCCTCCCCCAGCATTTTTAGGAAAAAAGGGAGGGTCCTAGGCCCAGCTTCTTTTTAAATACATAACAGATAAAGATATTGTGCAAAAAAATAAAGACATTCACATTTTAGCAGTTAAACTTTTATTTTACCTTTTTAAAATTTTTATTTACCTTTTTCATTTTCTTTTCTACAAAAGGCAGATAATGATTGTTGATCTGCAATTGTCAGGTTGTGCACTCCCCAAAAGGGGGCAAAGTCAGAAGCTGGGGCGGGAGCTCAGAGGAATGCCTCCAACAGCGGGACTAAGGGGAAGGAAACCCCGAGGCTGCCTCTTCCGGCCTAGCTCATGTCGATGGTGTTGAAGACCCACTCTGTGAACTTCTTCAGCTTGTCGGAGGCATTCTGGGACTCCTCCTGCAGCCTCAGGTTGTCCTCCCGCAAGTGCTGAACCTCCGCCTGAAGGTGAGCTTTGTCTTCTTTTTCCTGGGAGGGTGAGCAAGCAGAAGTAAGAGGGGGTCCCACTCTGCCCAGCCGCCAGGCCTGGCTGTGGGTCTGTGTGCAGCCTTCCCTCCACTGAACAACTGTCACAGGACCTGGCACTGGATCTCAATTACTGACTGGCGCATTTCTGCAGGAACTAAAGCCTATGGCTGGCAATTTTTATATTGGCTGGCCCAAAATTATTTCACTGACATTCTGCAGGTTATTACATTCAATAGTTACACCTGACACACCTCTAAAGTCTTCTCCAGCACTGTGGGTTTCATTTTCACGTTCCATATCAGAATCAATCACTAAGGTGTTTTGTCTTTTTGCTGGTCTCATAGGCACATCGTCTGAATCAGAACTATATTTTGAAGAACTATTATCTTCTGAGACCCTAGTATATATGTCGCTGGGACAATCAGAAAGTATCGGCATTATAGAAATAAACTTGCATTTATAATATACACAAAGTTGGAGCAAAATGTGAATGATAATGACAATCATAACTTGTATACAGTGATGTTAACTATATCACTCTAAAAGATACTGACACATCGCTGGTCAATAATATGTTAAGATGTCCTCACCCAGCGAACAGGACTTCCAGAGACAGTTACTACAGGTTTATTTTGGAATGTAAATACATGAGTGCATAGTTTAATGTCTGTTAAGTTATAAGGGCTGTCTTACATTCTAGGTGATTGATCTAGGGGCTGCTGTCTTAATAATATAAAGTCACTCAAGAAACTAACAGCAACTGGTTCTTTTGGTGCAAGAGCCTGAATAACACTGAGGATGTGTGTGTGCATCTGGGTTGTGGATCAGGGGTGAGGAGACTGGGATAGGGCCCAGAGGGGGCTGGCTGAGGTTTAAAGGCATTTTACAAAAAAAGGGAATGCTCTTTCTGTATACACATGACATGAAAGCCTTCTTGCACTATGCGTGTCAGTGGGAACCAAGCTCCAAGCAGACTCCTAAAACGTGTGTATCGAGAAAGCAGGGAGAACGCCCACAACTTATTCCCCCAACACTGTTGACAAAGGGCTCTCAGTTCAAGGCAGCTTGCGTGGACAGGATAACCTGCTTGGAGAACACGTTTACCTTCTTCAGGTCTTCTCGAAGCATCTTCAGCATACCTTCCAGCTGGTCCACTTTAGAAGCCAGAGTGGGAGAGGAATCTTTACTGCAGGGAACAAGAGACAAAAACCATGTAGGCAGGAGTTCTCCATGGCTGGGTTTGTTTGGTGGTTCTTTTCTTTTTTAAAGGAGTTGGCTGTATTTATAAAACGGTTTTCAATGTCAAATTACTCAGTATGGTGACACAATGTACATTTTCACTTTTAAAAAGAAATGGCAGTTTTAACAAAAGGTAACATAGGCGTGAACTATAGCCAATCAATAGCTTCCTTAAAGATTCTGGATCTTTGTGACAAAAAGAATATGGGACAATAAGTGAAAATGGTCTCTTTGGCAGCGTAAGAGGGGCTTTCTGACAGATACAGCTGTCAAACAGTGAAACGAGTCTCTCTTTAGTGGCTTTGAGAGTCACTCCTCCATGTGTACCTGTTGGGTGGGGCAGGGTCAGTACAGGCCCTATCTTGGGGCCACTCCACACAGCGGCAGCCATGTTATTGCGTCCATCTCTTAAGACTAAATATCTTTAAATATTAAAAAAAATTAGACTACATCTTTCAGAAGTTTGTCATATGCATGTATGCTCAACTGATCAGTTGTGTTGACTCTGCGATCCCATGGACTGTAGCCCTCCAGGCTCCTCCATTCATAGGATTTTCCCAGGCAAGAATACCAGTGTGGGTTGCCATTCCCTCTTCCAGGGGATTTGCCCCACCCAGGGATCGAACCTGCGTCTCCTGCACTGGCAGGAGAATTCTTTACTACTAATGTCTTAAGCTCTTCACTATTATGATCAGCAAACTCTTAAGGCTCACAATTTCCCCCCATTTCATTTTAGTGCTAACAATGCCACGCCATTGAGCACCAACAGGAGAGGAGACTAGAGGAAAAGAAACACATGTAACTGGCTGGACAGACCACACAGCTGGGCAAGGGCCGGAGACCTAGCGACTCTTCTCTACTTGAATTCAAGCCTCTGAAAGTTTCTGGGTGAATTCTAGCCAGAAACATCACCTCAGTCTCCCACAAGCAAGAATCTGAAGGCTCCCATGGAGACAACATGCAGATGACTCTTTCCAGAGGTCAGAGGGAAGACGTGATGACTGAATGAACTCTTGGCATCATGAAATATAAGGTACTTTTGTTTTTTAATTAAAAAAAGGTTTTTTTTTTTTTAACACCAAAAATATTCCATGCCACCATGCGCCTGTTGTAGATCTAGAATTAGCAGAAGACATGGACAGAGCTTATTTAAAGTAAATTTACTTTAAAAATCAAAAGTTCAAGTTAGAATTCCCTGACCTAAAATAAGCTGTGTCCATGTCTTCTGCTTATTCTAGATCAGCAGGCCCAGCACAGATGTCACAAAGCTGTGAATAAAATGGAATGATAATGACCTCCCAACTTCTAAGGCAGGATGACCAATTAAAAGCTGACAGTGAATGGATTTTAAAAGGGAAGTGGTCAGCTGCAATCCACAACCTCAAAAGCCGGTCAGGTTTGGATGTGTTGAAGGCTAAAGATGTGATAGAGTTAAGAGTGGTTCCGAACAGAAAACTATGAGGCTGGGGGCATGGCTATCCTTTACAAGCCGTTGAGTCCACTGTCCCCGTCTTGGCAGGGCTGATGCAGCCACGGTAGGTTGTCAGTAGCTCTCAGTAGCCTATCTTGACTTCTGAAGGTTTGCAAAGATCAGTACAGTCACAGACACAGAACTAATCATCTTTAAAAACATTTAACTCCATTTGCATCTGCTCATCCACACTGAACAAAGACCCAGTTGTCACCCTCATTTTAGGCGTCTATAGATCCCACAAAGATTTAAGAACTGTTTAATAACCCTTTCTCATGAGAACAGTCTTTGCTCACTTAGAGAGACTTTGTCTCTTCATCCTAAGGGACATTTGGGGCTCTCCTCTCGACGCTGTACATTTTTAAAAAAAGTTCTCAACAGCCAAACTAACCACCATTTTACCTCCCTAACTGTCCCAACAACAGGATAAATGCAGCATCTGTCTGTCACACTCACAACAAAAGATCCATTATGACACTTTCTCCGTGAAGAGGGTTTCCTCACAGACTTGCTTAAGAAGTCTTCAGGCACAAGTCCCCAGGATATTTGTGCAATCTATGCCAACCTCATTTTTCCTGTTACTGGCTGTTTCTAACCAAGTTTTATAGATCCTGGATTCCTGTTGTTTAGTCACCAAGTTGTGTCTGACTCTTTGTGACACAAAGAACTGTAGCCCACCAGGCTCCTCTGTCCCTGGGATTTCCCAAGCAAGAATACTGGGGTGGGTTGCCATTTCTTTCTCCAGGGGATCTTTCCAACCCAGGGATAGAACCCGTGTCTCCTGCTTGTCAGACGAAATCTTTACCACTGAGCCACCTGGGAAGCCCACACCTGGATTCTTAATCATCCTCAAAAGGTTTTAAGAGATTGCAAACTGATGAAATCATTCTGCATCAAGGGGAGGCTTACTATGACTGTTGGGATGCTTTTATATATAGAAATATCACACATCCAACAGCCTCACCATTTGAAAACTGACGGGAAAGTGAAAAAGTCAACCTCTACATAGTTAGGAGAAGCCAGAGTCCATATTAATTCAGCTATGGCTTTTCTTACTTATTTTACATAAATCTTACTGATCCTGGTGACCCACTTCTAGCGTAGGTTTAAAGCAGAACGTTGGGAGTCGCTAAGATGCAGGCTCATTTACAAGCATGACTACTGACAGCTTCAAAATGGACAGACTCAAAGACTAAACACATAGGAGCCCAAGGATATTTAGCACAAATGATTTCTCTTAATAAACCCTGAGGGCATAAATGTATTACGGCATTAAATAATGAATATTCATAATGATGACTTTAAGTCATCAAGAACAGTTTAAAGGTGTTTAGAGTATTTGGTTACAAAGCATTCTGACCAAAAAGTGAAATGTCTGGCACTGCAGTGATGAGCTTCACTCAGCTAATCCGTGGGACCTCCACCGCCCCTTCCCCACACCTGCTCTCCGTCACTAGCGAGGTGATACACGGTGTAGAGTGATACCCTCACCACCGGGTGACTGACCTGCTGTATGATTTCATCTGGACAAGGGCCTGGTCCTCAAGCTGGTCACTGTTGGATGCAGCACTCAGAGGCCGATGGTTTTCATCACTAGCAGCAAAGAACGAGGCTCTCTGGACTAGAAAGGAGAGGAGAAACCATTCAGCACTGTGGAACCATATCCTGGGTCCTCTCTATCAAAAGTCAAGAAATGACCGACATGCACAGTCAAACCTAATCACGGGGCAAGAATGCACTGGAAACTTTATTTTTCCTTTGTAGGAAATTTTTTTTTTTTTTTTGCTGTTTTAGCTGGAAGAGGATAGTAACATTATGATTTCTCTTTTAAAAATACTTGCTGTGACTTTTATTTCTAGCTTTTCCCTTGCTTATAAAAGTTGCATTCTATTGTTTCCCTGGAAACAGGCCTTGTGCCAAATTTGCAGACCAATGCTTTCCACTCAGTGACAACACAAAATATATTAAAGAGCTAGTACAGTACTAAGCTTCTTGAGGCTTCTTGAAGTATGTTTTCCAAAAAGACTTCTGGCCACCTTGGTGGGCTTTAGCTTAGGTTCACACCACCTGTTTCAAAAAAACACTCACTTTAAGCCTGAGCCAAGAAACAAAATCAAGTTTTAAAAGAATCTTTCATTAAAAAACCAAAACTTCTTTGCAGCAACATGGATGGGCCTAGAGATTATTGTACTGGCTTTTCCAGGTGGTGCAAGTGGTAAGGAACTTGCCTGCCAATGCCGGAGACCTAAGAGACCTGTGTTCGATCCCTGGGAGGAAGATCCCTTGGAGGAGGGCATGGCAACCCACTCCAGTATTCTTGCCTGGAAAAATCCCACAGACAGGGAGCCTGGTGGGCTGCAGCCCATGGGGGTCACAAAGAGCCGGACATGACTGAGAAACTAACAACAATGATCTATGTCAACACAGACAGCATTACTGCGAGTTTTTTCTATTTCAGCAGATCAGGCCAGCACTTGTTTAATAAGGGCCTGCATTTAAGGGCCACTGGCTTAACGCAAGCACACAGCCAGTGGGCTGATGTGTAGGGATGAAGCAGGCGGGAAGTACACATGCCATCACTCCCTTGAAAGATGAGTGAGAAAGGCCGGGGCCGGGACAAGCATCCTAAGAGATCCAACTGTGCGTTGAGCAATGATGTCTTCACGATGTGATGAAAAATGCTTCCTGGACATGTGCTATTTTCAGGTAAGTGACAGCTGGGATGCTGAGGCATCTGTGTTACGAATTCCCACTTAGAGGAAACCCTGGATTCCACCTGGTTCAGATCAACAGTGTGGGCCCTGAGTATCTGAGAACTGCGAGCTCAACTGCTTTCTGGCTGTGCATGTGTCGTCAGTGAGTCCTGAGCACTGATACTGCTCACGACACGCACGTGGCCCAGCCGGGACCATCTGCGGACTCACCCTCGTAGGCCTTGGCGGCGTCCACCAGGTTGGACCAATCCAAGTCTGCAGCAGCGTCGGGCAGGGGCATCAGGCCGGGGTCGGGCATGGGCGGCCTGCGGGTCTCCTGGACGTCAGTGAGGGAGCTGTCCGAGGCCGAGAACTCTCCTGCAGGAAGGGATGAGGGATAAGAGGCTTCAGGCCCACTGGAGACCCACTCAAAGTTTTACCCATTTTCTGTGACCATAGTAGATAAGCCATTTGTTACCTGGAATCAGTTTCTAGTCTAACAGACCATTAGCGGTCATTCTAGAGCTGAGGAGAACTAGGAATTGACTTCTTCCAATCTTAATTCCTTTTTGTGTAACCTCCCAGTGGCCCATTTCTAATGGTGTGGGTCTGGGAAAAGTTAGTTCTGCACTGAGGCCATGTGTCTACTTTTGCAGGAGCTGCTTGTATAACAGAGACCCAGGGCAGCTTCGGCACCTCACTTTTCCTCCCAGAGTCAAGGGATTCAGGCTGGGGTGAAGGGACCTACTTCATCAGAGTGTTGGATTTTGCAGCCAGGCCAGGGAGGCTTGGTGATGCGTGTTTGAGGGGACCGTAAAGCCAGTTTTTATCTGCCTTGGAACCTGGGCTCTGACTCCTTCCATGTGGACTCTGCGTCCCAGGGACTGCTGAAGGACAGGCATGTCCCTGGCTCGTGTCTGCAGCTGGACGTATCCAGGGTAGTGTGAGAATCAAATGAGAGCACCTGAGAGAGGGTGCTGGGTCGCTCAGTGGAGTTCACGCTGGTTCACTGGTGTTGGCATCCTTCTTTCCCAAGGACGTGCTAAGCAACTCTTGGCATCGGTTTTCGATTTACAGCAGTCCAACATCCCAAACCCCTTCTAAGGTGGCAATATTTAAACACACAAACATTAACCTATAGTAACACCCAGTATCTGCTTAGCCTGGGGGTGGGCAGAACGCGTGCAATGAGCCCCTCCGTGCAGTGGAGGGCACACTGCCACTCTTCAGGTTCATACAGGTGGAGGAGACGGGCACAGAGCTTGGGAAGTGCAGATGCTCTCAATGGGGCAGAAGCTGAGAGGGCAGAGCGGGCGCCTCCATGGGAAGGGCCGCCTCACAATATGACCACGACACTGAAATCCACTCACACACGGAGACAAAAGCGAGGCTCTCAGTTGAATTCTGTGACTCTGGAAGTAACTGTTTACAAGGAGTTAAAAAGTTCTGCCAATCATGATAGTCTATAAACCAGAGTATATTTAGTGCTTGCTTTCCCTTGCAAATTACACAGAGGACTGCTCTGCAGTGCAGCTGCTAGTTATTAATGTGCTTAAAATTACCAAAATTATGAGAAAATCGAAATCATCTACTGCCTGATATTAAAGGCTCAGTTCTATTTAAACTTGCTCCCACCAAGGGTAAAGCTGGAATAATTTTTTAATTAAAAAAATATTGAAGTAAAGTTGATATAGAATGTTGCATTAGTTTCTGGTGTGCAGCAAAGTGATTCTATATATATATACACACACACACATTTTCAGATTCTTTGGAATAGACAGTTTTGTTATGTCACACACAATCCTGCTTTTTTTTTTAATCTCTGGGTCCTAAATTTCCATCTGGAAAAAAAAAAGTTTCTCATTCCCCAAATGCATCTCAGTGGTGGTCACACCCATGACGTCAAGGACGGCAGCCCAAGGATCGCTCAGATTAGGGCATGGGGTCACGGAGGCTGCTGCCTGTCAGGAAAGCAAGAGGAGGTGGCAGAAGGGGCTGCGGAGGCTGGGCTGCCCCTCCCCGCCCTCAGTGCCAGCCCTTCAACTCTGGGACAGGAAGGATGGGTGGGAGGCCGGTGTCCAGGCTCTCCTCTTAGCATGAGAGGCTTCTAGAGGACAGGGCCTACTGTGACATGATGCATGCAGATTAAAAACTTCCCAGAGGGCTTAATTTTATCACTATAAAGGTTTAAAAAAAAAAGGAAGTGAAAGAAGCATTTGGCGTAGGCAGGAAGTTGTATGAGGAATGGAGTGCAGGGAGAGAAGGGGAGAAAATAAGGTTACTATTTAGGTCACCACACGGAGGCGCTTCCTAGTGTCCAGATGGTAAAAGTGGTCAGTTCACGTGTCTACCTTGGTTCATTCTCTAAAGCAAAGAGAAACCAGGGTCATGCTGTAGGTGGACCTCCTATAAAGAAGGAGGAGAGAGAAGCTGATGTGATCCTTGAGTGATGTCTGCCCTGGAGAAGGGGACCGTGTGGGGAACAGGACTGAGATGAAGAGGAACAGTCATGGACGTGGGTTAGGGGTGCAGGAATGACACAGGGAGAAAGCTAGCCAGGAAGGCAGGAGATTTAAAATCCTGCTCCAGTGCAAACTGTTACACATAGAACAGATACAAACAAGGTCCTACTCTATAGCACAGGGACTGTATTCAATGTTCTGTGATAAACCATGATGGAATTTAAGAACATATATATATATAAAACAGAATCACTTTGCTATGTAGCAGAAATTAACACAATGTTGTAAATCAACTATACTCCAATAAATTTTTTAAAAAATGAAATTTTGTCATCTGCAATAACATGGATGAACATTGAGGGCATTGTGCCAATGAAAAAAGTCAAAGAAAGATAAATACTGTATGATCCATCGCACTTATGTGTGGAATCTAAAAAAATGTGAGCTCACAGTCACAGAGAATAGATTGGTGGTTGCCAGAAGTAGGGGTGGGGGTAGTAGAAATTGCTGGAGGGAGTCAAAAGTACAGCTTTCCATAAAATAAGGAATTCATGGGGGTATAATCTGTAGCATGGTGACTACTGCTAATACTGTATTGCATATTTAAAAGCTACTAGAAAAGTAAATTTTAAAAGTTTTTATCAGAAAGAAACTTTTGAAACTTTTTAAACTGTTAAATTTTTAAAACTTTTTAAAAACTTAGTTTAAAAACACTTTTAAACTATGTATGGTGGCAGACGTTAATCTTGTGATCATTTCGCAATATATACAAATATCAAATCATTGTGTGGGACACCTGAAACTAATCCAAGATGAGTCTTGTGGTCTGGTGAGGCCCAGGGTTCATACCCCGTGGCTGGGATTCTAGGTGAGAGGCTGAATGGCGGGGTAGGGCGCCCAGATAATCTGAGCAAGCAAGCAGGACTTCCTCTAATTAGCATCCTTGAGCAAACTGAGTGGCAGGGGTTTTGGGGGACACGGGTCATCATCAGCAGGGCTGTTAGCTGCAGCTAGAGATAGGCTTACCGTGCAAGGACTTCATTCCCAAGGTGTATGAAGGCCTCCGCAAAGGAAGAGATGTGGGGAGGGAAGGGTACGTGCTACTGAAGAGGACGTCGTTGGGCAGGGCTTGGTCCAGAAGCGAAGCCCTCGAGGTGAAAAAGTGCTCCCTCTGGCCGCTGTAGATGCTCTCGTCGGACAGCGTTCTGTGCAAGGCCCGCCTTGACGTGGGGGTGGTGGGAAAGGGGGACTGAGGAGAGGAGAGTGCGTGGAACTGAAAAACAGCATCAGGACAGCAGAAATCAATTTTCTGGGTCACATACCCACGACCTGGGGTGTGGGATAGGTAGGTTAACAAAATCACTCTCATAGACACAACCCTTTAAATCCTGGAGCCCAGAAAGGAGGCCTCAGGATCCACCATCTCTACATCCCCAAGGGCAAAACAGAGTTCCTGGTCGTCATAGCCTCACCGCCCAGCACGCTGGCTGCGGTCAAAGAGTGCTCAGTACAAGATTCAGATGTAGGATGAAGTGGTTTCATCACTATTGTGCCAAGGTTACAGCAAGACTTTAAGAATAGATAGATAAGGGTTTTATTTGAATCCCATGTCACTGACCAAATCATGTTATCGCTCGGAACCCAATTCTTCATCTATGAAATGGGGGCACAAAAGCACTCAGGATTATTCTGAGGATTCCAAGAAATGCTGGACTGGTCACAACGGCATGCATCAGTGGTGTTCCAAAATTATGTATGGTCCCAAGGAAACAGCCACGATGCCGGAAGGTATCCTCGGAAGCTTGTCAAGTGACACGTGTTTGCCAGGCAACAATAGCCTTTGATCTTCACAACACAGTCACTCAAATAGGTGACTCTTGAAAGCTCAAATGACTAATATTATTTTTAATGAGCTCAGGAGATTATTTTTTGAGATGGATTTCTATTGGTGAAATAAAAATAGGGAAGTTATCCTTATAAAAGACAAGTATATATAGTTATATAAAAATGACAAAAGCTCCGGATGGCTGTATCTCGTGTTAACGTCTTTTGCCTTTGTGACCAGATTTGACTTTTGAGATTTTTGTGCAAACAGCAAGCTTCTGAGAAACCCATTCATGAAGGAAAAAACAGACATGTTAACAATGTTGAAATATCCAGCATCCTGCAAGCCAACAGAGTATGTGGTCTGTTAACAGAGTTATCCTTATTCAGTTCCTCTTAGTCGACTGTTCACCTTGGCAGGGAGAAGAATGTGGGGAACAGGTGAGGATGTGAGTAGGAGGGTTGAGTCACTGCTGGCAGGAAGCCACCGTGAAACTTTCCATGCCGCTTTGAAAGGACAGAGAGATAATGATACGGCAACGGCTCCATCTAGGAGGCTGAGAACAGAGCTGATGCTGAGACTCATTCAATGGGCTCTGGGGTCTAACACACTTCCATCCACCAAGCCAAGGGCTGATCAAGTCAAAGCTGTCCACAATGTGGCAGGCATAGCTGCAACATCCATATGAAAAAATTATTAACCAAATGCATTGTCAATGAGCTCCAAGTGTAGCCGATTGTGTTCACTTTTTAAAATTCATCATGAGTTAAACCCAAAGTACATATGTGCTTACCTTGAAAACTAAGCTGCTGTGATAAATGCTATGTGGGTCTTTAAGAGGGCAGGGACTTGGTATGGAAATGATGATTTCCTTTCTCACTTCACCCACAAGAGTGGGCGTTAGAGAGGTTAAATAGCTTGCCAATTGTAAATTAAAAGAGAAAGCAGACCATCTCGTTCCACCTGCCCAAGGTTCCAGAACTGTCACATAAAGCTCCTGCCTACCAGCTCAAATCTCAGATCTATTAAAAAAACTGCTCTCCATCTTTTTTGGCACCTTTGGGTTTGGCCAAGGGATTTCCTTTTCCAGTGAATATCCCCACCCTGATAAATTTATAGAGGAGAGAATTTTCACCAGTTCTAATTTCAGCCTCTTTGAGAAATATTAACATACTTCAAGCTAAACAGCTACTTGAAGAGATCCTTTGGACAGCATGATTTATTAAGTTATAACAGCTTGCACTAAGGGAAGAGAGGGAAGGAAGCGGTCTGCCTAGATGCTTTCTATCTATTAAAAAATAGCAGAACTAGTCTGGTCCAAGCATATGCAATGGCTCCCACCCTCAGTCCCCTTCAATTCTAGCCTCAAAGGTGTGCGTACCTACCCAGTTCCCTAGGGCACCCTCTGCCTTCCCTGGAGGTCATACTGAGATCGCTGAGTGGTGCTGCCCCATGCTGCCAGCCCCCAGGAAAGAACCAAAATGCAGGGGGTGGCAGACTCAGAAAGGATTTTAGAGAGCATCTAGGAAGGGGGATTTCAACTCTGTTCCAAGGAGCCCTAAGGGTTCCTCCTGGCATCACTGCCTGGGGAAACGAGGTGTTCAGGGGGCACCCAGGAGTCCAAGACACCCCACCCTTCCTATCGGAGAAGTTCTGCCATCTCAGTTCTATGTGCTGGGCTTCTGTGTGTAACTGTTAGTAGGAAACAAAAAGATTCTTAAACTTTAAAATCATTTGGGCACCACTGACTGAGTCCGATCGAGCCAGGCCTAGAGAGGTGGCCTCCTGCTTCAGAGTCCAGGTCCATCTCCTTCCTCTCCTCACTCTCTTCATGCACCCCGGCTCTCAGCGAAATGGGTCGCTCTTGCACTTGGGATAAACAACAGTACCATCTCTTCCTAAACAGTAGGTCCCCGCCTGACACCCGTCCTTTGGTCTGTATCTGAGAGTGCTGGCTGGAGAGCAGGGCTCTTGGTTTGCACTACTGTTCTGTTCGCTTGCTGGACTGCATTCAGCCCTCGGGGAGAATACGGTGATCCCAGCTCTGCCTGCCAATGAGGTTTCTCAGAATGGTACAGCTCTGCCATCTTCCTTGAGATACGAGTTTCACAGCAGCTGCCTGGAGGTTCCCAGACACCCACCTCCCAGCTGCAGCCTGCCCAGCAGAGTGCCGCCAAGTCCTGCAGCGGTCGTCTCCGTCTGCTGGCAGATGAGCCTGGGAACAATCTGTCACTTGATACTCACGGTGGCTCACAGGAGCCCTTGCCAATGTGGCGTGAGCGGGTCCCAAGGATCACTGCCCAGGGTGGGCTACTGAAGCCTGACGCAGTGGCTTGGAGCCCTGCGCCAGGCGCGGCGGGGGAGACCTCGCAAGGGCGCACTGGCCTCACTGACACAGCAGAGGCACGGTCACTCGGAGGAGTCTCAGAAGACACACAGAGCTACTTAGCTGAACTCATCTGAAGCCAAATGAAAAAGGACACAAGAGAGAAAACAGAGCAGTTCTCCAGCTCCTGCTCCCAGCCTTCTCCCCATAATAGTTCAACCAGCAGAAGCACTTTCTTTGCAGAGGGTCTCATGGCAATATAGTCAACACATAAAGCATGTGCATTCCTGTTTCAAACAGGAATGTTAAAGTAATTCACTTTGGAAATAAAAGCCAAGACCTGGAATAAGGGCAAGACAGACATTTGCTTTCAATTATTTTCACTGTAGGAGTAAATCAAAAGAAAGAAAGCTCTGAGCTTGCCCCTTTCCAAAAATGTTAAACTAAGGATTGGAGGAAAGATTCCTTTCAGGGCAGATTTTATTTTCCTTTAACCTCAGGAAAAAGCTGAAATAATTTTGAAACTGGTAGTTAAAAATTTTAATACACCTCTTTGGTTTTTGATGGGTAAAGAAAGAAGTTTCAAGTACTATCTTTTGCGGGGTTGCTAAGGAAACCATTTGTGCCCTGGGTGATGAGTCAGAACTGTTAAGTGCTGGCTTAAAGAACAGAAATGATAGAAATCCAGAATGTTAAGTCTTTAAAATGATTTATGATGTTAATGCTTATGTTAATAACTCAGTGATTTCTCTGCAAAACTCCAGAATGGTCTTTGGAGTACATTTCATCTCGGGAGATGCTGATATGTCAGTTTCAGATGTATACCTGACCTACCTAGAAGAACGCACACACACGTGTGGCACACGCACACAAAGGGGAACGTGTATATGCACAGAAACTAGAATGGTGATGAGGAAGCCTGGATAAGACGAGACCACACGGCTCATCACGCTGGGCACGTCTCTCGCCCTCTGAGGATGGTAAGTGGTTAAGGAAATATGTCAGCTTCCACTTTCCATCAGTTCTCAAAGGTCCTCTTAAACTAAGCTTTTTAGTCACTTCAAACAGACTACAAATCATTTAAGCGAGAACAGAGAGAACAGAAAACATCAAAGCGTGCACCCACTACCCTCTGGAGCGGTGGACTCTTCTCATGGGGCCACCCAGTACACTCCAGACAGGAACACCTTATGCTAAATGTGAAACATAATACCTTTGGGCCCAGCTCAGCCAACACCAGCTGCTGGCTCATTTGGGAGTGAGACGGCACGCTTTAGAGACAAGAAAGCAGAGCCTGAGATGGGCCTGAAGGAGCCTCCCAAGCTGACCATACCCACAAAAGGAGCGATGTCGTCTGAGTGATAATGTCAAGAAAGTATAGCTTGTGCATCATAAGTAGATACAGTGGAAGAAAAGGAGCCTTGGGGGTGGGAAAGGTTACTATAAACCCAGACTCAAGGGATGTGGCCGCAGGGACAGGACACTTGGAAAACACATGAATTAAATACTGATTTGGCTGGGTGATGGAGGGGAGGGGAGGGAGGGTCCGATGAGGAGTAGCTGGGAACCACCACTTCCTGGAGAAGTTCTGCCCTGTCTGGCCTCTCTTTGACTACTGTACACCCCAAGCCCTGCCCAGTACCTTAAAATTCTTCTGGGATTCAGGGGTTGGGCTTTCCAGGTCAATGAGCTTCTTGAGATCCTCCTCAATGGTGGACTTGGAGGTTGGCTTTGGGGACGCCCGGAGGTCCCTGGTGGAGGCACGCAGCCTGGGGTGGGCTATTTCATTGCCGTCACTCTGATGACGCCTTGAAAGAAGGGGAAGAGAGGGGAGAAGTTAGTTTGATGAGGTGGACTCAAGGGTGTGATGGGGTCTGAAAGAGGTAAGTCAATGGAGACCTATTAGAAGAGAGAGAAGGAGAATTACTTCTGTTCAATTATATTAAGAATCAATTTGGATAAGTGCTTGTAAAGAGAAACAAGACCAGTTTGAAATACCAAATAAAAAGCCTGATGAATAAATCACTCTTTCACAGGAAATGATAAACTCCACAAGCCAAAATTAGCAACAGACTAACTAATAAAAAAGACCACAGGGGATGAATCTCAAATGCAATCTCTATAGAAACAAAAACAATGTCATTGACTGGATCCTTTATTTTTTGCTGTACTATTTTGTCAAAAGTTCTTTATGTTCAGAGGTGGTCACTTACTTTCTAATAGTCCCTCCTGGGCCAGTTAGGAATTACACAGGAAGGCTGTGATTAATAGCATCAAAGGGACCCCAACAGTGTGGTCTTAACACCCAAGGGGCGATTATTCTGAAGTTTGTTCTTCAGACAGACTCTTTCCTAGGAGACTTTGTGATTCTCAAATCTGCAGGTTTTCAATACATCTTATTTAAGGAATGTGGCAGAGAAACAATGTAAGACATGTTTCACGTGGGAAGAAAAATAACTTCCCTAAGAAACCACCCTCTCCCCAGACTGGAGCCCGGCCTCCTCTCTTGCAGGAAACTGCCCCAAGCTTTTCTGTTCACTGTCATGTGAAACGCAAAGCGCCCAGCAAGAGAAGCAACGGAGCCCTTACTTTCTCGTGTCCATAAATCCCACGGAGTTTATGGTTCCTTCGGGTTTCTTCCATCCAATCAGGTACTTGCTGGTAGCGCCCTGGCGGGGGTAGAAAGTCCGAGGGCCGGAGGAGGAGGACGAAGAGGAGGAGAAGGAAGGAGTGAGCTGCGAGGGGGCGGCCGGGTGAAGTTCCTCCTTCGGTGAACTTCTGGCACTGGTGAAGACCACCGGGCTGGCAGAGTGTCGCGAGCTCATGGTACTGAGGAGAGGCAGGACAGAGAAAAAACGATGGGGGTTTGTGTGTGCCTCCTGGGGTCGGCCTGCCAGCCATAAAAGCATCGTCCAGGACAGGGGTTACGGCCCGGTTACAGAACAATGAGTATTTCATAAAATATTAATGGGGCTGGCTGGCCTTCCTTTGCCTTTTTGCTTCAATTTAAATGTCCGCTGTCAAAGTAAAACATGCTGACGGGGGCTGCTTCTGCACTTTCAGTTGAAAAGTAAAAATAGTTAAGACGGTCAGGGACACTCTGAAGTACACCAGCACCGCTGAAGTGTGGTACAGAGAAGCCTCGCAGAGGCGTGTGTGTGTGCGTGTGTGCGTGTGCGGCGGCGGGGGAGTTGGCCATAAAAGGCCTGGCAGTATCAAGAGCTCTCCGTCCTCCCTTCCTCAGAACTCAGGGGCACAGTGACACTCCCCAGGCCCGAGCTCAAGAGGGAGAGAAGACCGGCTCAGCTCACGTCCAAGGCCAAAGGGGCACCCGGAGGTCTCCCTCCCCCCGGCACCTGATAGTAACACTCCCTAAAAAGCTGTTTATCAGCTTAGACGATACCACCACCGTACATCACACACACACGTTAACTCAATGGATTAAAGACTCGAATGCAGGACCTGAAACAGTAAAACTCCTAGAAGAAAACATGGGCAGTAAGCTCCCTGACAGTCATTTTTTGAATCTGACACAAAAAGCAAAGGCAACAAAAGCCAAACTAAAACAAGAGGGTCCACATCAAACCAAAAGGCTTCTGGGCAGCAACGGAAATCACCCACAGAGGGAAAAAGCAACCTACTGGACAAGAGAAAATATTTGCAAATCATGTATCTGATAAGGGGTTAATATCCAAAATATATAAAGAACTTCTATAACTCAAGAACAAAAAAAGCAAACAATGTGAATTTTAAAAATGGGTAGAAAAATCTGAATAGACAGTTTTCCAAAGAAGACATACAGATGGCTGACAGGTATAGGAAAAGATGCTCAATGTTACTAACCATCAAGGAAATGCAAACCTAAGCTGTAATGAGAACTCACACCTGTTAGAATGGCTATTATCAGCAAGATAAGAAATAACAAGTATGAGTGAAGATCTGGAGAAAAGGGAACCCTTGTGCATTACACTGCTGTTGGCAGCAATGTGAATTGCTGCAGACACTCTGGGAAACAGTATGTAGGTTCCTCAAAAACTTAGAAAACCAAACTCCTAGAAACAGAGTAGGTGTCAAAGTTAGAGGCTGGAGAGTGGTAGGTGACATGGTTAAAGAAAAATCAAAAGGTACAAACTTCTAGTTATAAGATAAATAAATCCTAGGGATGTAATAGTAGGCATGATGACTAAAACTGAAAAACTGCTCATCATCAGTATATTTTAAACTTTGGTTAGAAGTTACAAAATTAAAGTTCTGAAGGACTCAAGGAGAAGACTGCTTTTGTACTTCTAAAACTCAGGCAGGATTTTCAAAACTGGAGATGAAAAGTTCAAGGTGATGTCAGACCTGCTGCTGCTGCTGCTGTTAAGTCGCTTCAGTCGTGTCTGACTCTGTGCGACCCCATAGATGGCAGCCCACCAGGCTCCCCGTCCCTGGGATTCTCCAGGCAAGAACACTGGAGTGGGTTGCCATTTCCTTCTCCAATGCGTGAAAGTGAAGTCGCTCAGTCGTGCCTGACTCTTCGTGACCCCATGGACTGTGGCCTACCAGGCTCCTCCGTCCCTGGGATTCTCCAGACAAGAGTACTGGAGTGGGGTCCATTTCCTTCTCCAGATGTCAGACCTGGAGGGCCTCTGATTGCAGGATTTCCACAGTTCCTTCCTAGTGGTCTCATGGGACCTACGTTCATACCTCTTGAGCCCGGCTGAGTTCTCTAGCTTAGGCTGAGATCTAAGACAAGTCACTCCAGTGGAGCTGGTTACTGAAGGTTTAGTTAACAGGATGTGGTCTCAAAGCATTCCTCAATAGCACTCGCACTGGTCAAAACCTAATGGTCCTGCTCTGAATAAAGCATGGACTTTAGTTAATAAAAATGCATTGACACTGACTCCTTAACTGTGACAAACGTATGATAGTGATGTAAGACAATGAGAACAGGGGAAAATGGGCAAAGGGTACGTGGGAGTTCTCTGGACTCTCTTTGCAACTTGTCTGCAAATTAAAAATGACTCTAAAACAAAAAAAGTTCACTATAAAAACTAAGCAAAAAGCAAAACAAAATACAACAAAAAGTAAAACCCAATGGTCCAGAGATTATATATATATATATATATATATAAAGTGTGTGCATATACACACACATACACACATATTTTCATATATGTACACACACACATATATGAAAATGAATCCTGAACTTCACCTCAAAACTTGCATAAAAATCAATTCCAATTGGACTTATATTTAAATGTATGTCTAAAGATTCTAGACTGTAACATGGAAGAATATCCTTATGACAGAGGTTTCTTTAACAGGATCATAAACAAAATGATTGAAACTCATTAAAATTAAGAACTTCTATTCATCCAAAGACACAGAGCAGGAGAATATACATAAAACATATATCCAACAGTGGGCTCTTATCCATACATAATTAACTCCTAAAAATTAACGAGAGAGACAACCCAACAGAGAAATGGGCAGAGATCTGAAAAGGAATTTCACAAAAGAGGAAATCTAAAAGCCATTAAAGATGGACACTCAACATCATCAGTTATCAGGAAAATGCAAATTAACTCCACAAAGAGGGACTACTACACAATAGAGTGGCTAAAATTAAAAAGTATCAAATGCTAGAAAGGATGTGAAGCAACCAACACTCTCACACACTGCAGGAGCATACTGGCTATAACCACTTTGGCAAACAGGTTCAGTCTCTGCTGAAGTTGAATATACATAAATCCTACGCTACCCATTCCACTCCTAGGTATGTACTGAAAAGAAGTACATACATATATGTATCAGAGGACATGTACCAGAACCTGTAATATCCTCAACACAGAAATACTCCCAAAGCTAAATAACAGAATGGATAAACTAACTGGTGTGTTCTCACAATGGATATATAATACAGCAATGAAAATAAACGGACGCTATTTGCAACACAGATGAATCTCACCAACATAATGTGGACTTAAAGACACCAGATGCAGAATAATACATATGGGATGATTCCACTGACATGAAGCGCCCAGATAGGCATAGTGAGTGTGTGACTTCAGGATTCAGGATAGTGTTCAGTTGGGGAGGAAGGGGAGGTGATGGGGAGGGGGACGTGTGGGAGGAAGGGTGTCTGGCTGCTGGGCAAGTTCCAGCTAGTCCTTGATCTGGGTAGTGATGACATGGGTAAGTGCACTTTGAGAAAACCCACCCTGATGTACACGGATGATCTGTACCTTTTCCTGTATGTCGGTTACACTTTAATGAAAACACGTCCACAAAAACAAAGCAAAAATAGATGACCTGGAAGGAGAAGGCTGAATCAGTCCCTGAGGCTCTGCAACAGACTCAAAGAGAGCAGGACAAAGTTGGGGTGGGGTGGGGGGAGGAACAGGACACAGGGCAAAGGTGATCTCAAGGGTTTTCCACACTAACTGGGCCTTGAAAAGTCAGACTAAACATAACCATCTCCTTTATTTCTGCAACTGAAAAGGAGGAACCAGGTTCAAACTACAAAAAATATCATCTTAAAAACGAGTAATGAAGGGGACTTCCTTGGTAGTCCTGTGGTCAGGACGCTGCCTTCTAGTGAAGGGGGTGTGGGTTCAATTCCCGGTCAGGAGGCTGAGGTCCTAAGTACTTTTCTGGCCAAAAAACCAAAACATGAAACAGAAGCAATACTGTAACTAATTCAATAGAGACTTAAAAACAAAAGCCCAGCCATACTCTCATTACCCCTCTAACAATTTTTCCCCCAGAGATTTTTCTATTTAGGGAGAAGGGGAAAGAGAAGACCCTTCACAAAACCTCCAAGGGCAACGTAACTTTAAAAGCAATGCAATCTCATTTAGTTTTTACCTCTTGGTAAGATACTCCATTTGTCTGCTTTAAGAGTTAAGGAAATGCAGAACTCCTCCACAAGTGCAGTATATTAAGCCAGTAAGAACGAAATAATAAAAGTAGGATTCTGTTATGGAAAAGAGACAAAGTGGAAAGATGAAACAAGGGGATGGTAAAAGACAGATAAAGATATAGGCAGGCAAACCCGTAGATAATAACACCAGAAATCTAGGTTAACCGCAAATGCATTATCCACACAGGGAGCACCAACCCAGAGAAGTTTCTGAAATAGGATGGGAACACAGCCTTTGGGGAACTTTAAAATCACGTGAGACGTGTGCCACTACTTGTGAGTTACATAGCGACAAGACTTAATCTTTGGTTAGCAGATTTCTTTCACCTGACTATGACAGTGAAAGCATAAGTCACTCAGTCATGTCTAACTCTTTGTGACCCCAAGGACTATACAGTCCATGGAATTCTCCAGGCCAGAATACTGGAGTGGGTAGCCTTTCTCTTCTCCAGGGGATCTTCCCAATCTAGAGATCTAACCCAGGTCTCCCGCATTGCAGGCGGATTCTTTACCAGCTGAGCCACAAGGGAAGTCTAACTTCATATACACCTGACTATAACCACCTCATATACATTCACAACCCAGATGTGGAGATGTCTCAAGCCTCAACCCTGCTTAGTGTCTAAAGCATATTCCAGAAAAGTGCAAAACCATAAAATCAGGATCTAGTGCACTCACCTTGGATAGCCACGCACTTGCTTCACCTGCTTTGATCAATATCCACCAGTGAGTGACATGTGTTTGAATGATTCGAGCCGTTCTCCCTCATCACCATGTTAAGATACAGACTGGAGGGCCTCACCCCAGAGATTCTGACTCAGGAGCTTGGGTGGGGTGGGGGACACGACACTTTGTACTTCTAACTTGTTCCCAGGATGATGTGGCGGCCCTGATCTCATACCCTGAAAACCATTATACC